GGGCAGTCCTTGGAAGCCTACAGTATCTCTCATTTACTCGCCCAGATTTGGCTTATGCAGTCAACCGGTTATCTCAGTTTATGCACAGCCCAACGGACGTACACTGGCAGGCGGTGAAACGTATCCTCCGCTATCTTGCTGGTACGACAACCCTTGGTATTTTTATTCGGGCCGATTCTCCTCTCACGCTACATGCTTACTCCGATGCAGACTGGTCTCGTGACTTGACAAATGGAGTTTCTACCAATGCATACATTCTATATCTTGGTGGGAATCCAATATCATGGTCATCTCGAAATCAACGTGGGGTAGCACGTTCGTCCACGGAGTCGGAGTATCGTGCTGTGGCTAATGCCGCATTAGAACTTCGGTGGGTGTGTTCTCTTCTCACTGAACTTGGCATCACCCTCTCAGCTCCTCCGGTGATCTATTGCGACAATGTGGGAGCGACTTATCTCTCGGCTAACCCAGTATTTCACTCTAGAATGAAGCACATTGCACTCGATTTTCATTTTGTCCGACAATATGTACAAGATGGTGCCCTACGTGTGTCTCATGTGTCTACAAAGGATCAGCTTGCGGATGTCTTGACAAAACCACTAGCTCGTCCTCAGTTCGATGCGGTTGTATCCAAGATTGGAGTCGCTTTCGCCCCTCCATCTTGAGGGGGCGTGTAAGGGAGAAATGTATTAAGGATGTAATTGTAATTAGTATATACCTAATCCTTATGTAACCTCTATATATATTGTAAAGCCTACCACTGAATAAGATTGAGCATTCATTTCTATATAATGAACTCACTCGCGTAGCGCGGACAACTGACTAGTATATATATAAAGTTAGTTTTACTCTCTTCTCTTTAAGCCACCTCATCATCCTAATCATCATATTATGTAACGTCGATGAGATTAAACCACTCGTTGTCCTCTTGTGAAACCACTCACATTAGTAAATTTCGCATGATGTTTAGGACTATATGTATAGTATAGGCGTAGGCCAGTTTAAGTTCAACCAGCTACCTCCACATGCAAGAGTGATCAGATTTTCCGTTTATTTCTTCAAATTAATGAAATCGCATGCATGATATATATCCGATTCAGGATGTCAAAATGACTGCGGTTGATTAATTTGCTTACCTCTTGAGTCGGTCCGCCTTGTGAAAGTGAAACTCGGTCGAAATATGAGTCTAGTACGTGCGTGTATATATGGTGATGAAGTAGCGAGTCTGGAAATAACTTTTCGTTTGTTTGAAGAAACTGGGAGATGTCTGCATTGGTCGACAAAGAGTACGTTTGGAGATATTTGACGACATATATATATATATAGACAAATTGAGTCGTCGCTGGAAGTGAATCGGATGATGGCATCTTAATTCTTCTTATTTGGTGAAGTTGCTTCGCTTCAAATTGATATGCTATGTCGTGTGTGTGTGTTTTTGTGATGCAAGAAACGATAGTTTTTTTTTTGGTTTAATTGTTTTTCGTTGTTTTTGGTTTAATTGTTTATTAATTATGACTACACTTATATTTTATTTTATTTTGGCATTTGAGGAAAACACTTATACTACATTTGGAAAAGGTAGAAAATATTTGATCTATTGTATATTGTATTGCTTATCATTTGGTAAGATTAAATGAAAAAGTTAGACCAAACGCAAGGAGATAAGAGAATTATTTTGATAAAGTATTAACTGGTTTAAGTTAAAAATACAATACTGTATGTGTAAATGAAAATTAATAAAGAGTTTTTGGTAAAGTTTATATGCATGGCTACTACAAGTAGGAATCAACTTATGATGAAATATAAAATGTAAAAAAAAAAAAAAAATTAAAACAATGGACAAATTAACGTGGGATGCAAGTGGTAAACCTTGACCATTGATGAGAAATATGAATAGTGACGTGGCGAGATCTGAAGCGTCCAAGGTCCAACTTTAATGTTGCGGATTCCAAAACTTATAGGACGTTCAGCTCAGCCAAAAGTTTATATATACTCACTCTTCACATCCGCAGGAACTTATTAAAAAACCTGCAGATACATTTTCTAATTTCAAAAAAAGTACTTTCTCTAACTAACTTCTGGAAGGGGAAAACAAAAAATGAGTTCGTCCGTAGAGTAAGTTTATCACTGCTACTACCTATGATTCTTTGCTTATCTCCATCTCTTAAGATTTGAATTTTTTTTTTCCCCATTCATCTCATGTGTTTGTGTTGGTTCCGATCATCTTAGAGTTGAAGCAGGCATGAAGATCAACGACTCATCGTTGGGTGCTGAAGAAGCCATGAAGAAGATCGTTGAAGGAGAGAAGAAAGGGAATGACGACTCGTCCTTCGGTGCTGAAGCAAAACAAGGCGACGATTTCAAGTAAGTTTCGCTAGCTATCATATGACGATTCTTCTGATTTTTTAGTTTATGGTTTTATCTCATTGGATTCCTCTGGTTTTCGTTTGATTTGTGGTTCCCACCGTAGAGATGAAGAAGACGCCATGAAAATGGAAGTTGACGGAGCCTTGAGTGCTGAAGCAAAGGAAGAGATCAAGTAAGTACTATCTGATTCGTCTCTGTTTTCCTCGTTTTTATATGGATCGATCTCTTAGTTTTGGCGTTGGTTGGTTTAATTTAGAGATGACGAAGCCATGAAGAAGATCGTTGAAGGACAGAAGAAAGGGAATGACGACTCGTCGTTGGGTGCTGAAGCAGAACAACGCGTTGATCTCATGTAAACTATCTATTATATGAGAGTCCTCTGATTGAGTTTTTTAGTTTTCGTTTTTACATGGATTGATCCCTTATTTTTGGCGTTGGTTGGTTTAATTTAAGAGATTACGAAACCATTAAGAAAATCGTTGAAGGACAGGAAGGGGATGACGACTCATCGTTGGGTGCTGAAGCTGAAAAAGGGCACGGTTTCATGTAAGTTTCTCTATAGCTAATTCATGACTCTTCTGATTTTCATTAGGTTTTGGTTTTATCTGACTGGATTCCTTGTTTCTTCTGTTTTGGTTCTCGTAGAGATGAAGAACCAGCCATGAAAATGACAGTTGGCGGAGACTTGAGTGCTGAAGCAGAGGAAGAGCTGAAGTAAGTACCATCTGATTCGTCTATGTTTTCTTCGTTTTTTTCGTTGTGTACCTGACTCGTATTTCCTTTTATTTCCGCTAGAGGCAATGAAGAACAAGAAGAAAACGTTGATAAAGGTAAATGGTGAATCCCTGGATCTAGGGATTAGATTTGGATTTTTTTTTTTTTTTTAATCCATGGCTCCTCAGAATTTATTTATTTTGCAGAGGCTGTCCACTATTTCGTTTTCCAACCATCCAATGAACTTTTCGTTGTCCACTATTGCATCAAACATGCACTAGCTAACCAATAACTCTTATATATATAAGCAATTGTCCTCGAAACCAAGAGAAATTGTCGTTACTTCAGGCCTCTAGGCCTCTCTCTCATTTGCTCAGAGGTGCTTATAAGTTCTAATACAGAAGGTGGTAGAATGGCGAGGACAAAGTTGTGTCTATGCGATTGGGGGGTGGTGGGGTGGTGGTTATTGAATATGTGGCTGAGCTAACGTGGCATGAGGCCATGAAGCTGTTTTATGTAGGAGAGTTAACTAGGTTGCTCATCGTTATTTTCATAGGCTAGCGTTTGATTTTTGATTGAACTGTACTCAAAACTAAGAATAAATCGTTTCTCCAAATGAAAGATTGACCAGTGACAGACAAATAAAAAGATTTATTTTGATAAAAACATTAACAGTAGCAGAAACAACAGATACCTTCGCTATCACCAAAATATACCATCATATACATTATTGTTACCAACTGATACCTTTTTGGTTTATTTGGTATAATTAATAATGAAAAGTTGCAAAGTTTCTTTATAATTAAAAAAATTAGTTACCAAAAATCAAACCGATTAACCTCTGTTTTGGGTCAACAAAAATCAAATGTTGGACAACAACTAACCTGCCGTACAATTTGGGTAAATATATTTTTCATATGATAAATTATGATTTATAATGTTTTATATGATAAGGTGACCCATTCGATCCCAAAGTAGCATATATGAAACACAAACGCGCGCGACTAATGGAAGTGGATTTGTGGATTGACCAACATATTTAGTTAAACGCTTTCAAAATTATTGTTTAAAAAGTTTTTTAAAACACATAATAATTTATGTGCAAAATTAATACTATATATTATTATTTTATAAATATTATAATTTAACCCGCGTAACCTGTGAGTCGATGAGGTAATGTATGTTTGTTAAATATTGAGAATTTGAGATCATTAGTTAACTAATTTTCTTATTGGAGAATTATGTATTATATAAAATAACTAATGATTCAAATCTATATATATAATAGGAGAGTTCTCTCTCCATCTAAGCTATCCACATCACCATTCACTTCATCAATTTTTAAAAAAAATTAAGTATATTTAAAAAGTTTATTTAGTATATATTTATGTACTCATAATTAATAAAACATTTAATTAAATAAAAACTAATTAACCTTAATAAATGAAATTTAAAAATCCTAAAAGAAATATTGTTAAAATGTTATAGTAATATAATTTGTAGCAAATTTTTTTTAAAAAATAATCTTACTTCCAATGATTTAATGTGTTAATGAGATTTATAATGGAAGAAAAAAATGTATGGTAGCGTAAAAAACAATATCTGCCTATATATAAAACCTATAAACCAGAAAAATTTGAAGTGAAATACACATTATATTTACACCAAAGTTTTTAATTGAAATAAAATTAAATACATCAATTTTAGATCATTAACTGGGTATGGATAATAAATCAGATTTATCTACAACAAATTATATCATTTCCATATTTAATTTTGATTTTCCTAAAATATCTCTACCTAATTTAATCTAATATATTATTATTACTATTAATCTTCTTTCACCTCTATGTGATCTTATTTATATTTTATTTTATCTTTTTACATTAAACATATGTATAAAAAAATAGATTTTTTTTTCCGAATATATTGCAATTTGATTTTTTTTGTAGAGAAACAAAATGAATATATCCCAACAAATGTATATTACTCAATCTATAAAACAAAAAGATGGTATGTACAACGTCCCACATCGGCTAGAAAAATTTAAACAATGTTTCAGAACCATTATAAATAGGACTAATATGCTTCTAACTACCAATGAGCAGGAAGTTTGATTTCTCAATCATCCAAAATTTAAGAGTTTTATTCGGTTTAATCTGGTTCTTTATTTAAGCAAATTAAAACTTTTAAAAACTTCAAAAATATTATAATATTAATTTTTTTAAAAAATGAAAATATTATAACTTTTAAAATAAGCTTTTAAAAAATTTCAAAATATTACAATTTTTAAACTTTAAAATTTTTAAAAATTATAAACATTAAAAATTCAAAAATATATATAAAAGAACATTATAACGTAACTGACGAATACAGAAAACTCAAATATAAATATATCTTATCAATATATTATGTTTTATTGTAAATCAAAAGTCTTAACAATAGCTCAAAAAATTTCCTTTTTTGCAATTATATTTTCCACTATTAAAGTTCTGTCTAAACATATTTCTTTTAAAAATATATATATATTCAATTACACAAAGATATACAAGCAAAAAATATACATGTCAAATTCAAAAACATGTAATTAATGCTTTTTAAACTCAAACCAGATTATGAACCAGATTACCTTCTGGGTCATCATATCACTATTAACCTGGTTCAACCACGGTCAACTGATTAAAAGTTATATATATATTTATATAGACTATGCAGTTTTATTAAAATAAAAAAATAAAACGTCATCTGTGCGGGATATCCTCTAGTATTTTTTTTTTTTTAATTTGATGATATAATAAATATGTTGTATATTTCTGCACATTTTATGCTACATAGAATTTGATTAATAGCTTATTTCCTAATCTAACATATTTTTTTTTTTCCTAAAGCATCATCTTTCTTTTTCTTAAATATATAATGATTTTTATTACATTTCATTAATTATTAATTACTGTTTTTCAAAAATATCTGAAAGTATATAATTAATATTAAATATGTTTACATATGTTTAACTTCGAATTTAATTGTCCACTTTTATGGTAACAAACTTAATTTGATTTTCATAAGTATAGATAATTCATAATTTTGGTTTTTATTTTTAATTTGTTTAAATATATTTTTTTGGCTGTCTTTACATTTGTTTGGCAACAGGTTTGCAGTCACATTTTTTCTAATATTTTTTTCTTAAGTCTGTTTGGTAACAAAGATTGGTGCTCCCCTTTTAATAGTATAGACTATGTAGTAACCCGTGTCAAGGCACGGGCAATTCGGTTTCTGAAAATATATTGTTTCTAGTTTCTATTTTGAATATTTTGTTTGAAGGGGTAGAACAGGTTAATACGAAATAAAACAAGATCAAACGTAAAATCAAACGGTCCAACAAAAAAATGGTTCATTTTGTTACAATCACACGGTACAACGAACACTGGCACAGTCCAACGAACACTCGCACGGTCGAATGAACGCTATAAAAAAATAGGCATAACAAGTTTATATAACTTTATTTCTCGAATTATGTTTGAAATTTGAAAAATAGTTTTAATAATTTTTTATTTCTCGAATTATGTTTTAAATTTGAAAAATAGTTTTAATATTTTTTTAATTTCTTGAATTACCTGTTCCTCTCTCGTATCCGTTCTTTTTAGCATAAATAACACAATTTACATCTTATCATAAATTACTTTTGTGTCACAATTTCTCTGCTTTGGTCTTTTTACCCTCTCCATGAACTCATCATCGTCTTCGTCTAAACTTGGATCATCATCATCTTTTGGTTCTGAATAATCAGAATCAGAATTTTCACCTTGAATTATCCTAAGAAGGGCTTTATTAAAACTTTTTTTGGCTGGTCACCACTGTCCTTCCCAGTCATTTTAGAATCCAAAATACCATCGTTCACTGCTGGAGGAGGAGCACTATTGCTAAGCTTCTCAACCTTAGGTAATACCATAGTATTCATAAAAGCATCTAATGGATCAATCTCATCTTCATCTGTAGATCTGTCACCTCCATTCTCAAGGACAGTAGTAGCTGTCTCATTCTCCAAGTCTACCATCTTCGCATCTCCACCACTTTCAGGTTTACTCTCCCCATCAACATTCATTTATGTTTCTGATTTTTCCTCCTGATGGCCTTCTTCATCATCAGATTCTCCTTCAAGTGTCCAAGCCTTACCGACCTTGGGCTCTTTACCATCCCCATCACCCATAGTTTCATTTTCAGCTTCCTCTTGCTTCCTCTTCAATTCTTGCCACTCATGGACTTTTCTCCTCCGTTTTTCCACATCCTCATCCATCTTCTTCTGCTCATCCTCTAGTTCTTCTTCTCGGATTTTCTTCTCTTTCTTTTCACCATCCTCCTCGACACTCTTTCTCCTTGGACTATTTCCATTGCAATCTGCATGCCTGCTAGACCTACCAACACTCTTTTCACGCTCTTTCTCCTTCCGGTCACCGCTCTCTTTTCTTCTACGTTTCAAGTCACGCTTGACATCATCATCACTCTCTTCATTGCCAAGCTCCCGTGACCTCCCCCTTTCTCGGTTCCTCCTACTACCCCTTTCTTTCCATCCTTCCATCTTCCCTTTTCCGCCTTTCCCTTTCTTTAACTCTCTCCTTCGCCCTCTCTTCTCGTTCCCGTTCTCTTCTCTCTCTATCTAAATTTTAAATTCTATGTTCACGCATTCTACCTAGTATTTGATATTTAAAATTTGGAATTAAATTTACTATCCAAATATTCTGAACTCTTGACCCATTACATAATTTTTTCTTTCATATATTCAATCAAAAATAGTTAAAAGAATGTTTTTAATTATACGAATTAACATGTTTCTGTCTTGTACCTAGTATTTAATGTCTTATTTTTCAAACGGCTAGAAAAGTTGATATTTAGTTAGCTCTCTAAATACTACTTTCCCGTATTTTATTCATTATTTGATATATGAAAATTAGAAGTAAAATTTTCTATTCAAATTTTATGATCTCGTCTCGTTAATTAAAATTATTGTCTCATATTTATAAAAAACTTTTGTTTAATAATAATTTTTATTTTCATAATTACTCGTCCATGTCTTCTACCCGCTTCTTATTCCAATGAATCCTCATAATATTAATTACTCGTCCATGTCTTCTACCCGTTTTCTTCTCTTTCATTTCACTATCCTCCTCGATACTCTTTCTCCTTGGACTATCTCCATTGCCAATTGCATGCCTGCTAGACCTACCAACACTCTTTTCATGCTCTTTCTCCTTCTGGTCACCGCTCTCTTTTCTTCTACGTTTCAAGTCACGCTTGACATCATCATCACTCTCTTCATTGCCAAGCTCCCGTGACCTCCCCTTTTCCCGGTTCCTCCTATTACCCCTTTCTTTCTCACGTTCTCTCCTATATATCCTTCCATCTTCCCTTTCCCGCCTTTCCCTTTCTTTAACTCTCTCCTTCTCCCGCTCTTCTCGTTCCCGTTCTCTTCTCTCTATCTAAATTTTAAATTTTATGTTCACGCATTCTACCTTGTATTTGATATTTAAAATTTGAAATTGAATTTATCTATCCAAAAATTCTGAACTCTTGACCCATTACATAAAGTTTCTTTCATATATTCAATCAAAAACAGTTTAAAGAATGTTTTTAATTTTACAAATTAACATGTTTATGTTTCCTACCTAGTAGTTAATGTTTTATTTTTCAAACGAATAGAAAAGTTGATATTTAGTGTAACTCTCTAAATACTACTTTCCCGTATTTTACTCGTTTTTTGATCTATGAAATTTAGAAGTAAAATTTTCTATCCACATATTATGATCTCGTCTCGTTTCATATTTTTTAAAAAGGTATTATCGGCGGAATAGGTCCTCACGGTTTAAAAGTTACGGCGTTTCGTACGTATTAGCGTCTTTGGAATCGAAAATAATAAGGAATAAACTATAACATAGCATTTCCGGGGACGCATCCATCTTAATACGATTACTTTGTAGTTTTTTCAAAAAATAAAAATAATCGAACAACCTCATTAGAGCAACAAGTTGAATTATAATGGTTGTAGTTGTTTAAACCAACAATGAGAAGTTACAAGAAAAAAATAAAAATAAAAGGGATGCAACACGAGGACTTCCTGGGAGGTCACCAATCCTAGTACTACTCTCGCCCAAGCACGCTTATCTGCGGATTTCTAATGGGATCCGGTGTGATTACTCGAGTATTTAACCCGATAACTTAACCGAAGTAAAGTATATGCGGGATCGATCACAGGGAGCAAGGGTACACTAAAGACTTGCGAGACTTGTTCGTAGCTAAAGCGGAAAAGGATTTTTGTTTGGTTTTTTAGTTTGTAAATAAAAACGCAAATAAGAGAGAGATTTAAACTTATGAATTAAAGCATTGGGCATCAGGGTATTTTCAGAGAATCAATGAATAACAAATAGAAGCAATAAGGAATTCAAACATGAAGAACCGTTCTCAAACATGAACACAAGATTAGACTAACTCTCTCTCAAGACATTAATCACTAAATTTGACTATTCAATTACTAAACTCTCATTAGTAATTTCTTAACCAAATTCGCATTATCAATCAAGTTCATTATGTTCACAAGGCATTCTAACATCAACTCTCGCAGGTTAGAAATACAATGCTCAATTTACATTCATTCAGGCATTTTATCGAACATCTCTGAAACAAATATAAGCCTAAGTTCTAAAACAGGGTGATCAATCCTATTCTAGCATTGAGAACATGTAAATTGAAGAACCTAAAGATTCAGAATTCCCTAATACATCTAATCTATCAAATCATTGAATTCTCCTACTTGAAACCCTAAAACCCAATTAGAAGACTACTCAGACATAGCAATTGAAACAAAACAAATAGAAATGAAAGGAAACATGATTCAATAGATTAGAATAAGAAAAAGGTTTAGAAATCTTCTCCAAATTGTCAAAGAGGAATCAATCTCTATCCTTGATGTTGCTTACAAGTCAAAACTCAGAAAATTGCTGTAAAGAAAGCGTAGAATGAAAAACAGGTCCTTTTTAGGTTTTAATCCCGATTTCAGAAGAAAATATAAATAAATTCTGGTTAAGGAAACCGAATTTGGAAGGGACCGATCGGTCTGAAAGATGGACCGATCGGTCGTTTGGCTTCGGGTCTTGTCCGGGAGAATGGATCGATCGGTCCAATAAGAGGACCGATCGATCTCTTTGTTCTGAGTGCCGGGTAAATGGATCGATCGATCCAATGTGGGGACCGATCGATCCAATGTGGGGACCGATCGATCCAATGTGGGGACCGATCGATCCTTTTGCTCCTGGAATGTGCCGTCCGTTCGGACCGATCGGTCTGGTGATGGACCAATCGGTCCATGCTCTGCATCAGCTAAAGTTCCACTTCCTTGCCCAAAACTGGTCCAAAACGCGCCAATTCTGCTTCAACTGCTTATCTCCTGCTCAAGACTCAAAACACGACTCGAAAGACACGAAAGACGGACTAAAACACGACAAACGACTCAAAATGGACATAAAAGAAAGGGTGAAAGACTCTAAAAACACTGTATATCAACTCCCCCCGACTTGGATTCTTGCTTACCCTTAAGCAAAACAAAAATCTTAACCAAGAGAAGAGGTTTGAAAACGCGAGAACTCACATATTCTTTTGGGATCATGCTCTTAATCAGTTGCCTGCAAACCATTATCACAAAGTTCATATCAAACCGTACAATAATGTACTTCACCATGACATCATGAGACCCCTAAATCACAAAGAACTTCAGAATCAGATAACTCAACCTTTTAACATTCATTAGCAGTTTCGTGCATTCTCACAAAGGGGATATCGAACACGTTATGGTCTAGGTGTGAAGGCAGTTTAGGTGGCTCAAGTGTTTAAGGTTCAGCAATAAAATGAACGGATGCAAATCATTATGCAAAATCACAGTGAGACACAGAGCAATTGGGAGGTACATAACTTCCCTCTAACTCGGATCATCCTACCCACATCACATCCCAAGCAAAAATCGTATCACCTTAACCAAACCAAACCCCAGAAAAGTCATAAGTATCATAGATGCTTTTCAAATAAAACCAAAGACATATGGACTTTTCCGGTTCCATTCTTCCTCCTTTTTCGTTCTTTTCTCTTTTTTTTTTTTGGTTTATTTTTTGTTTTTTTTAACGGGGGAGTGGAACCGGTTCTCGTCTCACAAACTGCATCAACAAAACTCAATCATGATCGCTCACAGCACATGCTCATAAATATGACAATATAACCACAAGAACTCAATGTCAATCATCCCAAACAACTACAATTACAATCCTAATTAAAGGAAAGCTATGTCGGTCTGTATACTCCGTAGTTTTTGCACATGAATGCACATGATGACAATGACACAAGAATGCATGTAGTATGAAGCATGGATAGGGCTAAAGGCGTGGTACTAGAATAAAGATGAGTCTAGCCATTCAGAGTTTACAAAGAGTGGTAAAACAACGCGGATTAAACTCTGAATGTATTATCCATTACATGATTACCAACCCTCTAAGTGAGATATAACAAGTCAAGATTAAGTTCAAATAAGCAAGGTTAAGCTCAAATCATCCAAATTTTGAAGTGAGGGATTATACGAGTGATCTAGTCATGAATTTTCCTGAAGTTCCAAGTTATCCTTAAACAATGCTAAATGGTCCCAAGGCAATGAAATCAAGCAAGGTGCAATTCCCTAAGAAAAGCTCATAGTTCTCATACAGCATTTTGACTCAATAAAACAGACACGATTTGACTCGATAAAACAAACTGACAGACTCAAGAAAACATCAAAATGAAACATAAGAAAAGTAAACTGCATTAGTAGACTAATGACACCTCCCCCAGACTTATTTCACACCGTCTCGGTGTGAGAATAAATCCAAAAGAAGCGTCGGACTGACTCAAAGAGAAGCAAAATAAAGAAAAGAAAAATGGTATATAACAAGGAAAATAGAGGGTGTTACGCTACTCAGTGCTGACGTGGTGGACTCTCACTAGAGCTGTGAGCCTGGCCTGGCTCCCTCCTGCTTCTGCTGAGACGTGGAGCTGTATCACTCGGGCCAGTAGTATCCTGACTGTGCTTGCGGCGGTTCTCCTGTCCAATGGCTAGCCCAGGTGTGGTCTGAGCCTCTGTGGCTCCTTCTTCTGTGTCTGCTGAGCTCTGATCTTCTAAAGCCTCAGAACCGTCATCCTCTGAATCATCTCCCTGTGTACGTGAACCAGAAGCACAAGAACAGGGTCTAATCTTCATCATCGCTCTCCACATTCGGCGCATCATAGAGTTGTTAGTCTTCTGAGACTCAACAACCCACTGCAACTATGCAGACATATCTCCAGGTGGAGGTGTAGGCTGTAGCCGGTATCGTCCAGGACTGTGAGGGAGGAGCCTGTGAGGCTGAGGAGAATACTCCTGTGAGGGGTCCTCCTCGTCGATCTCATCATCACTAGCCACTGCTGCCTGTGCAGGCTGGGAAACTCGTGTAGATACTCTGCGTCGAGTAGGTACGCGAGCAGCTGTCTGAGCAGGGTTGGGAATCAAATGTTCAGAACTAGGGAGAAACACCAAATTCTCTCTCGAGAGAAGCACAATGATAGCTGGACTGGGGAGGTTACAGTACAATGGTAGTCCTTGAAGATCCCAAAACTTGTAAACGTATCTCTTGACCAGAATACGACAATGCATCAAGTAGTCTATATCCACTTGCACCATATTCTCATTCACTTCTGCGGTAGACAAATCAATACCACAATGAATGAACAAAGGAGTGAGGAAGCTACCCATGAACAGATGCTTTGGAGGGTTGAGCTTCACTTTCACAAACATCTCGCACATAATGGCTGCATAGTTCGCTGTAAACGTGATGGGGCCGTTGTATTCTTCCAACAGATGTCTAACTCCATGAAATAGCATCCATAGCTCATCATCCCGAACGGAGCCTGACTCAGCCTTGAAGAAAACACCGTTGCTGATGATCTTGACACAAATGCGGAGAACCGGATTGCGAATGGCAGTAATCTTTGCGCCCCTGGACGTGTATGTTCCCTGACCAATCAAACCGTAGAAATCACTTGAGTCTTGTCGAGGAAAGCGTGGGAAACGAATATCATCCCCCTTTGGAAACTCATAGACCTCACAAAACTCAAAGAGTGACATAGAAAAGTGCTTCTTGTTCAAGAAGAATGTGAGCGTTCCCTCACTCGCCACTGGGTCTTGAGGATCACTGTAACGAAGACGACATGTGGCTAAGAACTCCTTCACTAATTTGGGGTATGTGAAGTGTTCCATGCTCCAAACCTTCCCAAGGCCTAGGGTCTGAAACAATGTCTCTGCATCTTCAAGTAAGCCAAGGTGGCTCAAACCGTCTCGACAACCAAATCTAGCGGGATGAACCTCGACCGAGCTCAGGGCAGCCAAACACTTAGTATCAATGGAATCCCATTTCTTCGTGTTAGGCCGAGTATTCGGATTTACACTCGTGGTGGTACGTTGTCCTCGGCTTGATCCAGCAGCATCCCGTGTTCTCCCCATTACCTACAACACATGAGAGTTGGCATCATGAACCAATTTGCAACTTGCAATCCAAAAATTAAACACAATTAAGCTCAAAATCCCAATTAGTTCATCAATTAAGCTTAAAAACTCAATTAATCTAACAATTAAGCACAATTGGGAATATGATAATGCAAGAGTGAACTAGTGTTACTTAGTTCTAAACATAGCACAAGAATCCAGACACAAATCCATGAAAATCGAATTTCTCATCAATTTTAAGTTCATACACGATTTTACACAAAAGTCAAAAAAATCAAACTCCCAAATTTTCAATAATTTAGCAATCCAGCACCATAATCAAGCTTCCCAACCTAGTAGAGACTAGAATCCAACAGAATTTCATTATTCAACACAAAGAAACTAGAAATTTGGAGTTTTAGAGGCAAACCATGTAAAATTCGGACTGTAAATAGGGAATTTCGAATTCATACCTTTGTAAATCGACCAAAACACCACCACCAACAGAAAGAGGGCAAAAAATCGAGTGGTTTAGAGCAAAAAATCGTCCAAATCCGTTAAGAATCGAGAGAGTTATGAAGATTTCAATTTTGGGTTCAAAGTGTTCTTCAAGAGGAAGAAGAAGACCAAAATCGAAATTCTAATGTGATATAACATGCTTCATACTACATGAATTCTTGTGCCATTGTCATCATGTGCATTCATGTGCAAAAACTACGGAGTATACAGACCGACATAGCTTTCCTTTAATTAGGATTGTAATTGTAGTTGTTTGGGATGATTGACATTGAGTTCTTGTGGTTATATTGTCATATTTATGAGCATGTGCTGTGAGCGATCAAGATTGAGTTTTGTTGATGCAGTTTGTGAGACGAGAACCAGTTCCACTCCCCCGTTAAAAAAATCGAGTGGTTTAGAGCCAAAAATCGTCCAAATCCGTTAAGAATCGAGAGAGTTATGAAGATTTCAATTTTGGGTTCAAAGTGTTCTTCAAGAGGAAGAAGAAGAAGACCAAAATCGAAATTCTAATGTGATATAACTCCTGAATTCTCGAGTTTTAAGGGTTTTTACAGGTTTAGATCGGTTTAGTTTTAAAAACATTTGGTTCAACCTCAATTTTTCACGATTTTGGTTAGAAAACTAACCTGGGACCGATCGGTCCGACGAAACGACCGATCGGTCCGTTTCCCTCTGGTCTGGCACGATGCACGCGATCGATCGATCCACGCACAGACCAATCGATCCGACTCTACGGAGTTTGAAGCGATGAACGATCGATCGATCTGATGAAACGACCGATCGGTCGCCTGCTGCCGGGTTTTTCAGAACCAAATGGACCGATTGATCCTTAGAAGGACCGATCGGTCGGCTGCTGCCGGGTTTTTCAAAACCAAAAGGATCGATCGATCCTTAGAAGGACCGATCGATCTTCTTTTCCTGCACATAGAAAACTAAAAAGCAGCATGAAACAACATGGTTTGATCGGCCTAGAGTTGGACCGATCAATCCGTCACTCCCAGCAGAGTGGAATCAAAGCAAAAGGATGGAAAAATAAGTTTGAAAATAATAAAACCAAAATATATACAAGATACCTGGTGGGTTACCTCCCACAAAGCGCTTGTTTAAGGTCTTTAGCTTGACCGTAATGAGCTCTTAAGCTTGATCGGGATTTATAAGAGGAACCGTAGTGACCTCTTCAGAATTGGACTCCGCAAGATACGGTTTCAGTCTCTGTCCATTTGCAGCAAATGGTTCACCGTCATTACTCAAAAGCACCACAGAACCATTAGACCTCACTTCCTTAACGACGAAAGGACCGGACCATCTTGAACGAAGTTTTCCGGGGAATAGCTTAAACCTAGAGTTGAATAGGAGCACCTTATCACCTTCAGTGAACTTCTTCAAGATTATCTTCTTGTCATGAAGAGCTTTGGTTTGTTATTTGTAGATGCGAGAGCTCTCATAAGCATTCAAACGAATCTCATCTAACTCATTAAGCTGAACCAAACGTCGCTCTGCTGCAGGCTTAATGTCGAAGTTCATCAATTTTGTTGCCCACAAAGCTTTGTACTCCAACTCTACCGGCAAATGACATGACTTCCCATAGATGAGGTTGAACGGTGTAGTTCCAATGGGAGTTTTGAAGGCGGTTCTATATGCCCAAAGAGCATCATCGAGCTTTGCAGCCCAGTCTTTTCTAGATTTATCCACAGTCTTCTCCAGAATCCCTTTAATCTCCCGGTTAGAGAGTTCCACTTGGCCGCATGTTTGAGGGTGATAAGGCGTGGCAAACTTGTGCTTAACACCATGCTTCACCAACAAGTTTGCAAAAACTTTATTGATGAAATGTTTTCCTCCATCACTAATCACCACTCTTGGAACCCCGAATCGTGGAAAGATGATCTTCTTAAACATTTTAAGCACCACTGTAGCATCATTCTTTGGACTAGCTATGGCTTCAACCCATTTAGAAACATAATCTACAGCAACCAAGATATACTCATTCCCATAGGATGATGGAAAAGGACCCATGAAGTCAATTCCCCACACGTCAAACACCTCCACTTCGAGAATGAAATTCTGAGGCATTTCATCTCTTGCTGATATTACCCTTGCGCTGGCAAACATCACACCTTGCAACAAACCCATGAGCGTCTCTGAACAAAGTAGGCCACCAAAAACCAGCTTGGAGAACCTTAGTGGCAGTCTTGAAGGAAGCGAAGTGTCCTGCATAATTTGAGGCGTGACAATGGTGAAGGATGCCATCAACTTCACTCTCTGGAATACATCTTCTAAAAAGGTTGTCAGCACACTTCTTATAGAGATAAGGCTCGTCCCAGTAGTAATGTCGAACATCTCTCAAAAACTTTTTCTTTTTAAAACCGGTGAATTCCGGAGGTGGAACATCACAAGACAAGTAATTAGCAAAATCAGCATACCATGGCAAATTACTCGCTCCAGTGTGTAGTGTCATGAGCTCAAAAACGTTTGTGTGTGCTCTCTCTACTTCAGCGATGTAACAGTCTTCAATTGATGCTAGCTCTTCTCCTGGAAGGGTGTCCCTCATTGGGATGTCGTCCTCAACTCTTAGTCTTGACAAGTTATCAGCTACCCCGTTCTCAATCCATTTCTTGTCTTTAATCTCCAAGTCAAACTCCTGCAGCAAGAGTATCCATCTCAATAATCTCGGCTTGGCATCTTTTTTAGACAATAAGTATCTCAAAGCAGCATGATCTGTGTGAACAATGACTTTAGACCCAACCAGGTATGATCTAAACTTCTCAAAAGCAAATACAATTGCAAGGAGCTCCTTCTCTGTGGTGGCATAATTTACTTGTGCTCCATCAAGAGTGCGCGAACATAGTAAATAGCATATAGCTTCTTATCTTTTCGCTGTCCCAAAACAGCACCCACAGCATAGTCACTTGCATCACACATCACCTCAAAAGGCAGCTCCCAATCTGGTGGTTGCACAATGGGAGCACTCACCAAAGACTCCTTAATCGTTTTGAATGCCTGCAAACAGCTTTCATTGAACTCAAACTTCTGTTCCTTGCACAACAACTGCGTGAGAGGTCTAGCAATCTTGGAAAAATCTTTGATGAACCTCCTATAGAACCCAGCATGACCCAGAAAGCTCCTGACTCCTTTCACAGAATTTGGTGGCTGCATACTCATCATGACTTCAATCTTGGCTCTGTCAACCTCAATACCCTTTTCTGAAATCCTGTGCCCAAATACAATACCATCCCGCACCATGAAATGACACTTCTCCCCGTTTAAGACCAAGTGTTTGTCCTCGCAACGCTGAAGTACCCTGCATAGATTAGACAAACAAGCAGCAAAAGAAATACCATGCACAGAAAAATCATCCATAAAAACCTCCATAAAGTCCTCAATCATATCACTAAAGATAGACATATGCAACGCTGGAAAGTAGCAGGGGCATTACATAATCCAAAAGGCATTCTACGATAAGCAAAAGTACCATAAGGACAAGTAAATGTGGTTTTCTTTTGATCATCGGGATGGATCGGGATTTGAAAGAATCCCGAATACCCGTCAAGAAAGCAGTAATATGGATGGTTTGACAGTCTTTCAAGCATTTGATCAATAAAGGTAGTGGAAAATGGTCTTTACGGGTTGCAGAGTTAAGTTTTCGATAATCAATGCACATACGGTGCCATGTGACAGTTCTTGTTGGTATTAGTTCATTCTTTTCATTTTTAATCACAGTGACACCACCTTTCTTAGGCACAACATGGATCGGGCTCACCCAAGTACTATCAGAGATAAGATAGATGACACCCGCATCTAGAAGTTTCATTATCTCTTTCTTTACAACATCTCTGAGATTCGGGTTTAACCGTCTCTAATGTTCTACAGAAGTCATTGATTCATCTTCTAGATATATCCTGTGCATACATAGAGTGGGAGAGATGCTTGTGATATCATCAAGAGAATAGTCCAAGGCTTTTCTATACTTTCTCAATTCACACCACAGCAAGGCACTCTCCACATTGTTCAACTCAGCATTAATTATCACAGGGTAAGAGGAATTAGGACCAAGAAACGCGTACCTTAGCCCAGCAGGAAGCGGTTTGAGATCCACTTTTGGAGCTTTCAGCTCACTCCAATCATCGCAGTCATTTGTTGTTGGGTCTACTGCAACGTTCTCTTCCTTAGTTATCTCAAGCTCCGAAATTTCCACCTCTTTACTCATTGGTGGCGCAGAATCCAGCAACTTAGCAAACCTAGTAGTTGCTTCACCAAGATACCCAAACTGATCCTCTTCCTTAACAATGGCAATCTGAAGAGGATCATCCATACTCAACTACTCAATAAGCTCATCAGCTAGCTCATCTGGGTTTAGACATGACTCTCTCCATGTTAAACTCTTGGAAAAAATCACCAATATGAAGTTTAATCTTGCTCTTCCTCACATCTATCAAGGCTCCAGCTGTGTTTAGGAATGGTCTACCAAGAATGAGTGGGTCTCTTGGCTCCTCATCAAGCTCAATGATGACAAAATCAGTTGTAATATAGAAATTTCCAACCCGTACATGCACATCCTCAGCCACTCCAACAGGAAAACGCACAGAGCGATCAGCAAGTATCAAAGACATCTTGGTTGGGGTGAAATTAGTGAGCCCCAATCTTTTTGAAACTGAGAATGGCATCAAACTCACTCCTGCTCCCAAGTCACAGAGACATCGATTAAAGGTGTGCTCTCCAATCGTACCAGGCAACACAAAACTGCCAGGATCTTCCATCTTCTTAGGCACAATATTCTGGAGAATAGCACTACATTCATGACTAATCAAAACAGCCCCTTCTTCAAGAGTCTTCTTGTTAGTCAAAATGTCTTTTAAATGTTTCCTGTAGGTAGGAACATTCATAACCAGCTCAAGAAATGGAAGCTTAACTTGAAGCTCATTCATAATCTCGTCAAACCGAGCATATTCTTTTTCTCTCTGAATCTTTCTCAAGCGACCTAGAAAAGGCAGCTTAGGCACATAAGGAGATGTTGCAGCTTCTTCAGTCTCTCCTTTCTCCAGAACTTCCTCCTCTGCTTCTACTTCTTCAACCAGTGGTTTAGCAACAGATTTCTCTCCAGCAATATCCTTTCCTGAGTCATCAGAGATGGCTATCGCCTTCTCCTTCTCCAGAATTGGATTGAGCTGTTTACCACTCCTCAGTGAGATGGCTTGGACATACTCCTTACTACCGTTGTAGTCCTTCGGGTTCGCTACTGGTTTACCAGGAAGAACTCCCATTGGCCTTGCAGAAGCAGATGCTGTCTGGGTTACTTGATTCTCAAGCGTCTTAACATGTGAAGCTAGTGACTCAAATTTTCCATGAAGATCATTGTACATGCTATCGACCTTGACATTGATATCAGCTGCATTCTTTTTCTGCCCTTCAAGAATCTGTTGCATCATCTGTTTCATCTCATTATCTCCTAAAGAGGTGTTTCCAGGTGCTTGGTAACCTCCCTTGAAGTTAGAGAACTGGGGTTTCTGCTGAAAACCACTTTGTCCAGCGACATGTGGTTTTGGTACAAACACCTTGTTGCTGAAATTTCCATTCCCTGATGGAAAAGTCTTAGGCTGAAACTGCTGACCCTGAGATCCCATCTGCGCTGGATATACTTGATCCTGCGGATTCTCCACGTTAGTGCTTCTGTAAGAGAGGTTAGGATGACTCCTGTAGTTCTGATTGAACCCCTTATTCTGATAGTTTCCCTGAAAGTTATTGACGTAGTTCAACTCAGCCTGAAAATCTTCTGAACCGTCTCCAATGAACTCTTGGTATGCTTGAGCTTTACCACTATCATCACAGTAGTTAACCATTCTCTGATCTCTCTTAAGAAGTTGCTCAACCTTGGCTGTCAACTCAGCAATCTGTTTTGATTCAGCTCCACCACCTCTCTGCGACCTATTATAATCAATATCCTGGCTGCTGTTACTACCTGCAAGATTCTCAATCAACAACTCAGCTTCTGTATCAGACTTGGTCATGAAGTTACCACCACTACCAGTATCTAGTGCCATCCTGTAAACCTTATCACATCCTCGGTAGAACGTGTTGATAAGTGTGGCATGTGGAAAACCATGATGAGGACATTCCCTGTAGTCTTTGAACCTCTCCCAAGCATCATGGAAAGACTCCGTACCACCTTGCTGAAAGGTAGTGAGCTTATTACTCAGAAGAGCTGTCCTGGATTGGGTGAAGTACTGTGTTAAGAAAACAGCTTTGTAGTCCTCCCAACTTCGCAGATTATCAAAATTCAACGACCTGAACCAATGGTGAGCCTTGTCAGCCAAAGAGAATATGAACAGCCTGCACTTGACAGCATCATCCGGCACCCCATTCATCTTTAATGTGCTGCACACATCCTCAAAGTTATCCAAATGGTAGACCGGATTCTCTGAGGCGAGACCGTGGAACTGATTCTGCTTCACTAGAGATACCAACCCGGTTTTGATCTCAAAGTCGTTCCTGGGAATAGGAGGATACTGGAATCTGTCCCGATAATGTTCAGCATTAGGGGTATCATGATCTCTCAGTATTTGCCGAACAGGTACAGGTCTTTGATTCTGTGCTGCTAAACGTGCAGCTTCAGCTTGTGCAGCAGCAGCAGCAGCAGCTTGTACAGCAGCAGCGTTCCCAGCAGGAGGTATTTGAGGAAGTTCTTGAAACTGATGTTGGTGACCGTCTTCAGCCATTTCAACAATTCTTGCTTGTGCTTGCTTTTTCCTTCTGTTTGCTCTCTCAAACTTTCCAATATCAGACTGGTATTCTGCGAGATGTGATGAGCCTTCACTACGGGTCATACACCTGAAAACACCACAGAGAGGACAAAAGTGATAATTAGTAACTGTAAATAAAATGCTCTAGGCTAAAAACTAATCCTAAATCTTTAGGTAACGCTATTGCTCCCCGGCAGCGGCGCCAACTTGATTACTCGAGTATTTAACCCGATAACTTAACCGAACTAAAGTATATGCGGGATCGATCACAAGGAGCAATGGTACACTAAAGACTTTCGAGACTCATTATCAGATAAAGCGGAAAGACTTGTTGTTTGTTTTTCAGTTTTTGTAAATAAAAATGCAAATAAAGAGATTAAACTTATGAATTAAAGACATTGGGCTGCAGGGTAATTTCAGAGAAGCAATGAATAACAAATAAAAGCAATAAGGAATTCAAACATGAAGAACCGTTCTTGAACATGAACAGAAGTTTAGACTAATTCTCTCTCAAGACATTACTCACTAAATTTTAACTATTCAATTACTAAACTCTCATTTGTAATTTCCTAGCCAAATTTGCATTATCAAACAGGTTCATTTGGTTCACAAAGCGTTTTAACATCAACTCTCGCAGGTTAGAAATACAATGCTCAATTTACATTCATTCAGGCATTTTATCGAACATCTTTGAAACACATAAAAGCCTAAGTTCTAAAACAGGGTGATCAATCCTATTCTAGTATTGAGAACATGTAAATTGAAGAACCTAATGATTAAGAATTCCCTAAGACATCTAATCTATCAAATCATTGAATTCTCCTACTTGAAACCCTAAAACCCAATTAAGAGACTACTCAGACATAGCAATTGAAACAAAGCAAATAGATATGAAAGAAAACATGATGAAATTGCAAATATAATAAGAAAGGGTTTAGAAATCTTCTCCAAGTGTCAAGAGGATGGATTCTTCTCCCAAAATTGTTTAGAAACCAAAGAACAATGTTTAGAACTTAGAAAAGTGAAGGATGGCTGCTCAAAAGTCGAGCCTAGGGTTTAAAAACAATAGGAGACGAGTTGGGTCTGTTTCGGATCGAATATGGGCCAAAAAATACGTCAGAGGTAAGGGATCGATCGGTCCAGGGTGTAGACCGATCGGTCTGGGACTCTCAGGTTTCAATCTGCATCTACTTCAGTTACTCGTCAGAATGACCTGTCTTCACGAAATCGAGTGTAACTCTTGAATGAACCGTTAGATTTCCTTGAAGTCACTTGCAAATGAAAGCTAACATCTGTCTTCATCTTGTGTCAAAATATGAAAAAGATCTAACGGTGGAAAGGTGTTAATCTGATCCCAAACATCTGACACTGCTACATGAATCTGCATCTCCAAATGTGTGTTTGCTTCCCAAAACAGCTCGTTTTATTCCAAAGCAACCTAAAACCTGTAAAAACTATATAATGGACTAAAAGACTCTAAAAACACACTTTGACTCAATAAAAGTTATAAAATGAAAAAGAAAAGAAAGACTTAAAACCGATAAAAACACAATATATCAAGAAGCCACTGGATTTAGAAAGTTTCTCATCTAAATTCTTTGCGAGAACGAGAATTAAAGTGGCTTCGATGCAGGACAAGAAACTTATTGCTTATTTCAGGATAATCTTTGAGCTTGGAGAACAAGTGCAGATAACTTGACGAAGGAAAGATTCCCGGCCAAGCGGAGTAGCAAGTTGAAGCCAAGGATCGATGGACCATTCACTATGAAAAAACGGATCAATGATAATTCCTATTAAATTGATCTCCAAGGTAAGTATAATATAAGTTCAAGCTTTAACGTTTCTGATCTATCTCCTTTTCTTGCAGGCAAAACGGATTTGAGAGAAAATCCTTTTCAAGACGAAGGGCATGAAATGACTATGGTCAAACAAGACCTGGAGCTCGAAGACGAGGAGGAGCTTGTAGCGGAGGAACAACTCGTAGCCAAGGAGCAGCTCGAAGTAGAGGAAGTATCAAGGCTTAGGAAGCTCAACCACGCAATCAGTGGCCTTCTTAGGGAGATAAACAGGAAAGAAATCAAGGTTCAACTCTCCTCATGATGATCAACCGCGCAAGAGGTTCGGTACAGGGATAAGTGTTGCTTATGCACTCTATTTCCCTTCTCAAATTTTTTCCCATTGGGTTTTCTTGACAATGTTTTTAACGAGGCTAAGTAATAATTTCAAGTCCTTTTACCAAGCCAAATTCGTGGGTTCAAGGCCTATCATTCTTGCATTTATTGCTTTGGTAATTTCCAAGATATTTTGCATGAGCTTGCATGAGTGTGGGATTGTACATGCTCTTGCATGTTCTTCTTTTGTCCACACTTCTCTTTCATCCTCCTCTCCTATATAATCTCCCTCTACCTCTCATCTGTAACTCATCTATATTTTTTATCAAAAACTCTTTCAAGCTAGATCACTCTCTTGTTTTTCTCTTTGGTGTGTAATATCCAATGTTTCGTCCAAGTCCAGTAAATTAAAGGCTCTCTCGTAACCTTTGTGCGACCTCCACATCCTTTGGTCTAAGTGATCTCACGATCCCTTAGGTGCAAAGCCTATCCTTTCCTCAACTTTCCGAGTGTCAATTCTAGGAGGATCTTATCAGCTTGGGGGCGAATCCATGATTCCTTGGAGTGTCTAGGTTCATTTTGGGAAGCTTCATGTAAGTGAATAAGAAAGGAGTCTTTTCAGCTTGATCTCCTTTGGCTTCATGTATGGTAAGTAATGACTCGTTGGGTTCTTATGTGGTAAGGTGTACCAAATGTCGTGTTGCACAAGTCTTGTGTGTTCTAGATTTTCACCTGATATCCAATTATAAATTTGGGGCACATTCAAATGAAAGTAAAAAAATAAATTCCTTATCTCGCTCCAAGGAGATCAACGACCTTGATTCAATGGGTGGTTTGGACTTGGATATGTTCTTGGGTTGTTCTCCATGGGCTGGGGCCTTGTGGTTAATCAAATGAGTGTGTGGGCTCCCTTCATGGCTGATCCAAATGTCAAAAGATTTAAAATCCTCACAAGTCTGTCAGTGAGTAGTTCACCATGTTTTTCAGCGAGTAGTTCAGAATGTACATCATCTATCATCTTTGAATAAGATGGATGATAAATGATTCCTTGATGATTTGGTGTCGCCTCATTTAATACCTTTTTAGATAAACCCATTGAGATAAACCCTTTTAGGTAAAGCCATTGGGAAAAAACTCTAGATAAAGGAAAATAGTGCAACAGTCATATCCCAACAATAAGGTGAGACGACTTGGTTTGTGAAATGATTGGTTTGGTGTGCTCCTAGTTTGATTAGTTCTGATATCCGCATCATACACTCTCTCATGAAAAAGTTCCGACCTCGAAACTGTACCATCTGCACCAAGAGAAAGCAAGTTAGCTTTCATGCGATATTGCGAGTTCAGTGTCTTACCTTGGTATCGTTGTGGCCTAATGTGCATGGTGCATCAGGAGGGTCTCCTTTGAGAAAGAAAGATAGGATCACTCCTTGGTTTTGATCGTGTACAACGGTTGCTTGTGTAGCCTGCTTAGCTCCTTTTCGGGTATGTGTTTCAGCTTTGAAATCCGGATGGTCCACTTTGATTAAGAAAGAACTTGGAACTCTCCTAGTCCTTATTAGGTATGGTGTGGTCACCAATGGAGCTGGTTCCCTCCGGTTCTGATTTTGATTCAAGCCTTTTTTCATCCCCAGTAATTCGCTTTCATGATCCTAATTCGAACATGAAATGTTATTGATGCGGACATCATGATACTCTTCTATGGTACCTATATCTTTGTTGATACTGCAGAATAAAATCAAGTGCATTATACTTGATGCGGACATCGATTATCCTGTCGAACCCGCTGAACCAGATACTGTACCACATCTTATACCAGTCTTCCCAGAAGTTCCTATGACACGTTCAAAGTCTAAACAGCTTAGAAAGAGATTCAACTTAGCTATACAAGACATTGTGAGTTCACTAGAGCTGAATGACGTCAACTGGTCTGTACCACCTTTACTTCACAACGGATATGATCACATCGCCGAGGAAGAGCTTGTTGAAGCATTCACCCAAATGAGTCTTGAACATACCATTTCCCCAGGTATGAATTCTCCTTTGACAGGTCAAGAAACCTCGAGAATCCAAGAGAAGACAATGCAGTTACAAGAGACGAGCAAAACAAGCTTCACCTTCGAGAGTGATCCAGAGAGTGAAGATAAAGAACAAGATATCAAGGACTTGGAAGAGCTTCAAGAGACTGATCAAGCTATCCAAGAGAGACTCCAAGAAGCCATCTACTTCAAGAAACCAACAAACAAACGAGTACCTGACAAGACTCTTGAAGTACATCAGCGAGTAGTACAAGATGTACTTTAGAGAACTAACTATCGGGCATAGATCGCATCTAGGTAAGTTCTATTCAGTATATTCCATCTTTGCAGGTCCACTAAGCCCCAACAACGGCTAGAAGACGTGCTCATCATGAGAATTCAAGTTTGCTTTAGTATTTGGCTTATTTTCTTTCCAAAAACAATGGATTTGTGTTTGTTATTTATTTTGTTTCCTTTGTTGCACTTTTAAATGTATTTCGGCCTTAGCGCTAGCTGAAGGACACTTATAAAGTCCCCCTGCAGCAATTTTACAAGTTTTTTTTACGTTTGATTATCAATAAAGAACCGAATTTTCTTCACTTTTCTCTTTTAAGTGTTCTTGAGATAATAAGCTTGTTCTTTGTCTTGTGTGTGTGATTCACCAAGGGTGAGTTCGTGTATTTTATCAAAGACCAATCACATCTATGTGGTGTACTTCAATCTACCAGCACTTCCCCTACAATCGATCCCGCACTAGAGAAGCGATCGCCATCATGTCAGATCTACATCAACGACCATCTTTTCTTCACAAGAGAGAAGCGACCGCCAGCTTGTGAAGCCATCAACTCTATCCTAGTACAAGCTCACCACCGAGTCTTGAATCATATGGTATCAGAGCACAGTTCACTTTCTTAACTTGTTATGCTTATCTTTTCCATTTTCTTTCGATAGTTTTGAT